GGAGCTGATGGTTCACTACCCAGTCGCCTTCTCCCTGAGTCCACAATGAGCCAAGTGCCCAGACTAGCCCTAGTCTCCTGCTGAAGGAGAGAAGATGAGCCTCAGGCTGGAGGTCCTGACCATGTGTGGTCACTGGAGAACCTATGATGGTTTGTAAGAGTAGGAGTGTCAACTCTGATGACCTGGCTGAGTTCCAGTACAGCACATTACATTCCGCCTTCATCTATGCTCCCTGTAGTTTTCAGCTGGATGCAGTATTTGTCACTTCCTGCCCTATCCTGTGTATATTTAAAAACCAAAACACCCCTACAACCACTGTGTCTGCTGCCCCCTCTGAGGAAAGGCTGGGAGAACAAACACCCACCAGCCGTTCACTACGGTTTCCTGGAAGGGATGAGTACAGTACAGGAACCTGTGTAGAGTAGCACGGGAGCCTCGCACTCCTCCGGAGTCAGTCCTCTCTGTTCTGTCCGGCTGGTCTCTCTCTGGTGTTCACCCCACCAGCCAGCTGACAGCACTTCCCTATGTGTCAGAGTGAGCTGGCATCAGCTTTCCGTTCCAGGGCTGGGATTTCTCTAGGAGGCCTCAAACTAGCCTCAGGGCTAGTCTTAAATAGACAACATGGCCTGAAGGCGAGGCCCTGGGTTACCCACTGGGAATGCACCCATTTAGCTAACCAGATGCTGCTGAACCGTGTTTGAAAAGACTTTAGGGCTTGGACCCTATCTCCTGACATATCCGCAGGGACAATGTCCTTGGGAGACGCTTGGCTAGCCTTTGAAAGGCAGTAGTTCTCAATGGGGCAGTAGCTACAAGGACACCTATTGGACTCAAAAAATAAACCTGATCCTTGGCAAAACTTGTGCTGTTCCTGGCATCGTATAACTCCATCGGCCCCTTCCTTTTACTCCCAGGTCACAGAGTCCCCTCTGCTTTCCTAGCAGTATCCATTCAGTGAGTCTCTTTCTCTCTCATCTCCTAACTGAGGGAACAGGCTAATCGTGGAGGAGGAAGATGTTCCCATTAAGTGAGGAATAACCTAATAGATCACCCCTGATGTATCAGCCAACGAGCCCTGGAAGGTAGGATCCTTCCGTTCCGTGGACTTTTTGAAGCTGCTGCACAGCTGGAAGCTCTGACAGAGCCCATGGTCCAACATGAGGTGGCTGCACAGAGGCAGGCAAGGTGTGGGGGGGGTGTAAGCTATAGGTCCAGAAGACAAGAGCACAGAAGTGGGGAATGGGGGGAGAAGCAAGACCACCCTGCAGTACGAAGAGGTGGGAATAAGTCCAGGTGGTGAAGGGAATCCTAGATCGCGCATAGGCAGGGCCTAGCAGAGGCAAAGCCTCCCCAGCCTTTGCACTGCCAGGAGAGTGGGCAGTGGTGGAGTTGGAGCCCTTGGAAAAATCTCTGCCTGCCATGGCTTTTCCGGTCATGGGGCTGCAGCTGGGGTGGGGGGGGAGGCAGCGGAATGAGTTAACAGGGCCTCGGGGGGGGGGGGAACAGGTGGAGTGGGGCGAGGCCATGGGTGGAACAGGGGTGGGGCTGTGGGAGGAGGGGCTCTAGCCAGGGCCGAGCACTCCGGCATGGTCCTGGCTGAGGCTGATAGCTCGACCCTGGCCGCGGCTGAGCTGTCAGCACCCCATCTCCACTACCCCCCTGCCCCGGCCGGAGCCATGGCGGGAGGAGGGCCTGAGCGCTCAGCCCCTTTCCCCCACAGAGGGTGGGGGTGGGGTGGGGGGGCATGGCCTCAGCCAGAAGAGGTGGAGGCCTTGACTGGAAGAAGTGGGGCACCAGGCCTAGTCTCCCTAATGGGAAATGTCACCTGCCGCCCATGAGAATGCGGCGTACCAGCCCTGACAGTTAACAAAAAACGATTTAAACCAGACGCTGGGCGAAATGTTCCCAACAGGGCTGAGAACTGGACTAATGGAATATACTGGGGCGAGGGAGGTCCTACAGTCGACTGAAGGCAAGACGCCATTAAACGCCCAGGCCCATGGCAGCTGTGGGATGTGCATGCCAAACCCCATTGCCGGTCAAGGGGTGGTTGAAGTGCAAAGCCCAAGGGGTGAGTGTGGCTCTTGGGGGTGAAATGCTTATTTCAGTGCATGGGAGAGGCTGGGAGACGTGGCAGGAAGGCGAGGAAAACGAAAGCCCCCAGGGCACCGGTTCCAGCACTTTGAGGAAGAGCTCTGTGTGCACCCGAAAGCTTGTCTCATTCCCCGCCAGCTGGGCCAGTGAAAGCGATGACCTCACCTGCCTTGGCGCTCTCATAGCCTAGGACCTATTTTCCAGCGCACTGAGCCAGGCAGAACTAGACCCTGTGGGTCAGTATAAGAATAATATGAATTATCAATAAGCTGCAGTGCAGTATCAACACCCCGAAGTGTTTGAACTCAACTCAATGGATGAGGGCAGGGGGGGCGGGAGTTCTTTAAATACCTTTGAGGCTCTGGACTTTAGGACATAGACGAAAATTAACACTATGTTAACATGGGCGGCACATGAACCCTCCCTTTGGGGAGCCCCCCCCGGTGTCTATCTACATGCTGTCCCATGTCCTTTTCCTCAGCTTCCTTCCCCCCCCAGTGACCTGTAGGGAGTTGATGGCCTGGCTACTCTAGTTGGGGGGGGGAGATGTCCCTGAATGCCTGATTTCTCTAAGCCCCCCCCCCCCATTTACAGTGCCACCATTTCTCCATGCAGGGTGTGTAAAGCCATTCGTGTGTCTGTGGGGGGCATTACTGGCAGGGGTTACCCTCACCTTGCTCAGCCAGGGGTTGGCACTGACCAGCCTCAGCCATGCAGAGAGTTTGCCCCTGCCCCACCTCGATGTGCTGAAATGCTTCCCAGTTACCACCCAGCTCCTAAGTGCCTCTTTGGGGGGAGAGGGTGGCAAAGGCGGCGGCTGCAGGGTGGGCTGCTGTGCACACTAGTGCCAGCTGGGGAGAATGCCAGTATACGGGCGAGCGTCTTTGACGTGGGCCTGCTACTTTTACTCATGTGAGTAGGCCAGCGCCTTCAGCAGCACGACTCATTTGGTAAGGCCAGCTCACACAAGCTGGCTAGCAGGCGCCCCCTTAACAGCGCCATGGCCTAGCCCTGCAACGTCACCATGCGTCAGCCTGACACTAAGAGTTTATTGTAAGCTGCGCAGGCTGGCATCTTCTTTATCCAATGACGACATTGCCACAGCAACCCCGGCCCTTGTGACCACAAGATTTGATTGGCGTAATTCTCTCTGAGCCGGCTGCGCCTCCCCCTTACCAGCGGCAACGTGCTGGCCAGCGCCGCCGTCCTGTTCTCTCGTGCCCTGTCTTCTTCAGGCTGGCTGCCTCTACTGTGTCAGAATGACTGTAAGGCGTGCCAGGGTCGGGAGCTGGGGTTTTTAGAGAAACAGTCTTGAGCCTCATCCAGCTGCGGAAAGGTGAGCCAACAGCCCTGTGGCACCTAACAGGCTAGTCTGCTGTGGTCTAGGTTCAGTTGTTGGGTTTAGTGTGCAGCTGCTGGGTGGGGTTTAGTGGCCTGCGATACCAGGCCGTCAGACTAGGTGATCTGATGGTCCATTCTGGACTTACATTCTATACCTGTGACACTCATTACCAGCTGATGCCTGGTTGATCACCTTTCATAGCACAGCGCCAACCCCAGGCTCCCCTTGGTACCATGTACGGAACCAAAGTGCCGTCACTCCCATTCCCACCTGTCCACAGCTCCAAGGGCCAGACCCTACCATGGCTCTGGTGGGTGGTTTCGCCAGAGGCCAAGGCCTGAAGGAGCATAGCTAGGTGGATGTCCCCTCAGGGCAGGACAGTGACCTAGCGGCAGAGTAGAGGGTGCTTATAGTCAACTTGTTCTGAGGGGCAACAGACTTGCAGGGAGTGATTGATGGTTATTCTGCTCTTCTCTCTCAGGCGGGAACAGGAGAAAAGCATCTTTGAGAGACCTTGGCAGTCCCTTGATCCTGTGACCAGGCCCTCACAGCTGCTCTCGCTCCCTCAGCTTCCCAGGGCCCCCGGCTGGAGTTGATAGCAACAGCACAGCCTATTCTGCTCCTGCACCAGAGGCTGGCAAAGCCTTCTGGCCCAAGGGTATTCTCAGGGAGCCCCTGACACCTCTTCTCTGGGCCCAGGGCAGCTGAGAACCGGGCCACAGGCAGCAGGGCTGTAACCTCTCCAGCCCCACCTGTACTTCAAAAAACCTGAAGCCAGAGCGAATGCTACCGCTCGTGAGGTTTAGTCAGTCACTTCAGTAGGGGCAGAGGTTCACCCAGGCACTGCTACCCTTTTCCCCTCTGCCTGGCCCGAGCAGCTCTGCACCCTTGCCCAGGAAAAGAACCTTGAGTGGCCAGTACAAATAACCACTTCAGCTGGCTGCAACCCCCAGTGCAATTGATTTTTAACAAAAAATGAAACATGGGCAGTTTCAGGTCAGAAGACTCCGGCGGCTGCTCCTGGGAGCATGGTGGGGAGATCTGGCAGGAAGACAACAACCCTGCTTGGGAACCTAGCAAACAATCCCAAACAGAACATCTCCTCTTGGCTTCAGTGTGTGTACCTTCTGATGGCTCAGGAGCTGTACCCAAGGGCAGTTAATGAAGTGCTATTTACTCCTGGTTCAGGTCCTAGGGGAGGGAGCACAGGCAGCGCAGCATGGCCTGGAGCAAGGAACGTAGGCTAGAGCAGGCAGAGAGCTCAGGCCCTCAGCCAAAATTCAATTGCCAGCAATGGTTATTTAATTCCATGTCCCATAAATCCTAGAGGCTTGTATTAATCCTATACTTTTCCTTCACAGCACTGAATTTGTCTGCACATTCGTTCCCTGAGCTAATTTCATTTTGTTGTATTTAATTGGCCGTAGGCTCAGGTAGGAGAACAAGTGCAGGGCCCACAAGTTCCCAGTCGCTACCCCGGCATTTTGACACGTGTGTTTACTGGAGAAGGGGTGGGGCAGGAGGGGGGGGGGGGAAGAGACACGCTTGATTTACCTGACCAGGGCTCTGTAAATCCCTTGCTAAGAGGGCACATGCCCACACCGATGCATGGCATAAAAAAAGCCCACCTCTGCCCATGCAGACATCAAGCCACACCCCTCCAGGGGAAGGATTCCTTACAGTTCCCTTTGCCTGACAGACAGATCAGCAAGAGAAAAATAAAGTGGTGTGATTCTGAATGTTCCCCATGTTTTTGAAAGCAGCTGCACTCCAGTCGAGGAGTGGGAGCTAGGACTCCTGGGTTCTAGTCCCACCTCTGCCAGTGACTTGCTGTGACACCCCCCCCCTCTCTGCCCAGGAAAGGGCACCAGGATCGAGTGCTGAAGAGGGCTAAGTAGTAGCTGCATTTATTATGTCCAGGAAGATGAGTTGGGCTCCTTGTGCAGCTGCTGTGCTGGAAAGCCTGCCTGCTAGTTGCTGTAGATACAACATTTGAGGTTAGTACACGAGCCACACGGAGGCAGGGATGAGACTAGGCCTGAAGCATCTTCATTCCAGCAGCAGCCCCAGGGCAGGGCAACAGCCGTGATCTCTTCCCGCACAAAACCCCTCTCTGTTCTTTTGCCAGAGTCGGGTTTCTCTGCTCCCGCTACACCCAGGACTGGGAGAGGTGGCAGCTCAGCGAGAGAAGGCAAATGAGGAAACACATTAGTCAGGCCAAGCCCTGGCTCTCTTGTGACAGTAAATGAAAAATTAGCAGGTAGGTGATGTCTCCTCCTGAGGCCTTTGATCCTGCTGTGACTATAATGAAACCAAGTGACTGAACACAAGGGAGTTAATAGAAATAAGATACAGAATAGCAAAGGGCTTTTTCCAAACACTTTGGAGTTAAATTAAATACACTTCTCCTGATTTCTATTCAACAGCTCAACTCTCCTCACATCAAGCTTTGTTTGGGTGTGAAAAAAGGCCAGGCAGGGGCTGGACTGAATTATCATGTTAACCAAACCCGGGCAAATAGACTGTGCCTGTGAGGATTTACATGGAGTTAAAAACCCATCCATCAGCGAGTGTAGCATCTCCAGGGAAGTTCCCCGTAGGGCAGATTTACCAAGTGAGCCCAGATCTGGCAAGTCGCACCCAGCAACACTATTGCACAGCTCATAGGCGCCAACTCCATGGGTGCTCCAGGGCTGGAGCACACTCTCCCCCGCCCCCCCAGCAGTCCCCTGCTACATTAGCTCCTCCCCCAGCACCTCCTGCCCACCTGTGATCAGCTGTTCAGCCCCGTGCAGGAGGGGCTGGGGAGGAGCCAGGGTGGGGCACACTCGCAGCAGGGGGCGGAGCCGGGGCAGAGCACCCCCTGACAACTCAGAAAGACAGCACCTCTGGCACAGCTTCCTGTTGGACAGCTACCACATCGTATCCCACTTACCACTTCACACACACCCTCCCCCAGGAAACCATAGACTTTATCCCTGCTCCTGAAGTCAGTGGAGGCAGGTGCAGGCCCAAGGGCCTGGCGGGAGAGACTCATGTGCAGGATTCTAGTCGGAGCCTCAGCTTGTGTGCATGAGTAAACCAGAGTAAATCCACTGATTTCAATAGAACTCAGCTGATTTGCACAAGCTGAGAATCTGACTCATTTACTTAACCATTTGCAGGTCTTCCGGATGAAAAGGCGGCTCTCTGCATGTTAGATATCAGTAGGAACCTTGGCAAAAATAACCCTGAGTTTGGTTCAGAATGATGGCAGAATTAGAGAAATAAGATTTAAAATGTCTCTTTAATCACCTGGGCATGGCATTGTGACTTTTCACTTTAAGAAACCAACATGTGAAGGAAAGTCTTGAAACTATCCTAGGGAATGTGGGTGTTCCTGTCCCTGGTGTGGTCCCCATTCATTAGCGGACCATATAAAGCAGTGCAGCTTTAGAAGCCAGACAGTCACAGTTGTGGGGTGGGGAGCAGGGCTGGAAGATGTCCCCATCTTTTCACAGAGAGCAGAGCTGTGGGCATGCGCCCCAAGTTCACTGGAACCAAAAATAAATGATTGACATTGTACTGGATACTTTATAGCGAGCCACAGATGACTGTGAGCATTTCAATTGGACAAGACACAACCAAGAGCATTGCACTGCCCATGCGAAGTCACAGTGCCCAGGAAATGGAAGACTTCAGAATTCACACATTAAAGTGCCTTCTACAGTTAGGTTTGTGCCCCGTATCAAATAGCTGTGGCTTTATTATTTTTTGGTCCATCAGTAGCTGAGGAAATGGGAAAAGATCTTCCTGCTGGTGCCAAAGAGCAGGAGAAACTCATGGACAGATTTGAGAGCCTCCCTTATGGATTCAATCCCCAGGAGTCGCACCTGAATCTGTTATCTCCAGATGGTGTGTGACAGCAGTAACGTGGATATAGGCCAAGTAACGATAGCCCTAACCCTGCCCCCCTCTCTACCCTCACACCTCGGACTCAAGGCTAGAGATTCGTCTCCAGGACTGGGCAGCACAAGGACTGTTCATTCTCTGGGCTGCCAGGAGGTCCCTCCTCTCCGTATTGACCATCTGGAGGAAGGACGGCTCTGCTCTGCTTCGCTCTGTACAGTCTCTGTACACGCTGTCAAAGTACATGGTCCTCCGGCTGTCCTCCTGGATCAAGTAGTCCCTGCTCCTGGGTGCCCAGGGAGCCCGAGTGACACAGCGCTGGCTGGTCCTGGAGTATTCGCAGAGCGGGGGAGGCCCCTGGTAAAGCCGCCCCAAGTACATAGGCAGGTTCATATAGGAGTTCATGTAGGCGTACTGTTTGTGCACCACGGTGGAGGAGGCCCGGTGCACGCCAGTGGCGTTCTGCAGGCACGCCTCCCCGTAAGAGGGCAGCCTCACTGCCTGAGGGTGCAGGAACCGCTGGGCTTTCCAAGGGAGTCGGGAGTTTGCCTCCACATGTTTTCTTTTGCACATAGCACTGGACCCGAGGGCTTCCGTGGGATAGTACATTGGTGTCTGCCTCAGTGCCACACCAGCTTTGGGGAAGAGATCTGGCACGTCCCCTCGGGTGGAAGACTTGCCGTCATATCTCCGGATGCCTAGGGAACGGTACTTCTCGTTCTGCTCCCAGGCAGACCTCAGCAGGCTGGCTCTTCTGTTCAGCTTCTCCTTGCCCAGAAAAGGTAGCTCCACTGGTTCTGGTTCCCTGAACACAGTAGCTAAGCGTCTGCAAGGCCTGTCGGCTTTTGAGAAGGAGCTGTTCATGCAGTCAGGAGGCAAGAAAGGGTTCTTCTCGGAAGTGGAGAACAACTTTGCCAGCTGGGTTGGGTCCCTGTGTCCTCCTTCCCCATATACCAGGTGGACATTTGGTGGAAGCTTCTCCTTTCCCTCTCCCCTGGACACAGGGTGCTTGTGCTCTTTGTAGATGTCTGGGAGGGGAAGCTCCCTTTGAGTTTTCAGTGGTGAGAGGGGAGTGCTCAGGTGGTTTCCCAGGGGCATGTGGCTCCCAAAATGGGATGGAAGCATGGTCCTCACCAGGAGGTGCGGAAAGCCACCCATGGTGGAACCTGGAAGAACTTTATCCCCAGAATAGCTTCCTCTAAACTTTAGGGGGTGAAGTACTGGAGGTTGCTCATTTACCGCCCTCCAGTTTTCATTAGCTGGCAGCCTGGAATCCACAAAGGGCTGTTGGGGAGCAGGGATGGGTGGTGGAACAGCCCTCTGGGCACAGTCCCTCCCAAGCTTCTCTGTTGCAGCCACATTGGAGGAGTAGGGTGGCCTGTTGGACACACTGGTGTTCTGGACAACAAGCTGAGGAGTTCTAAGGGAGAACGTGGTCTGGAGGTTTTCACTCTGGTTTGTCCAGTTCTCAATGGTGCGTGTGGCATTCTCAAGGGAGCTCCCAACACTGGCTGTTGACACCATGTCCTTGGCAGCCTGCAGCATCTTCAGCACATTGGCTTGGGCAGAGTTAGCAGTGACGTCGGGAGTACGAACACGAACAGGGCTCTCCAGATTCTGGACTCCACTGAAACAGCTATAAATGCCCTGAAAAGCAGAGAGAGAAAATGTGGCCAGAGCAACCCTGAGTGCAGGGGACACAGGGAGGGAGATGAAGAATAATAAATCAGTGCGCCTTGGGTCCTGGGAAGGGATGAGCCAGGGCAATCCCTCATGTACAAGCTCTATGTTCATGTAGGATAAAGCAGATAAATACTACAGAACAATGATAAACATCCACAGTTGAGATGGAGAGCAGCCCAGGACGGGCCTGAGATCACATTGCTGTAGGCCAGGAATATCGTCTACTGTGCCAAGATCTCTGCATTACTTCCAAACACCATGATTCCAAACATCTTCCCTTTTTAGAATAATTTCCTCCCACTAGTGACCTAGCGGACTCATCTCCAGAACAAGCGCTTTGATCAGCAGTGGAGCTTGAGGGCAGAGAACCATCCATCCCCGGCCAACAAGCATACCTCCACGGTGGTGCTCTAGAGTTCCTCCTGCCTAGACAAACCCAGAACTTAGTCTTTCCCTCAGTTCTCCCATTCGCTCATCAGCCTCGCTTCGAACAGCACGCCCATTAACTTTGGTTTCACACCAGATGAGGTGAGAGCTTGCTGGAGCACAAGCCATATACTAAACTCAAGGCATTTCACGTGCAATAAGCTGTCTTGGCTTGGGAATGTGAAAGTAACAAGGCCAGGAACTGGTGCATCCATTCATTATTCATTTCCTTGATGCGCTTTTAATTGGTGCTCGATTGTTTCATATGAATTTAGGGCTGGGAAAAGGCTCCCATCAGAGAACCCCACAGCCCTTCAGACAAGAGGCTTGTTTTTATCCACAGAACACTGACACTGTGTGGGCAGCACAAGCTTCCTCCCTCCTGCCATATTCTGATCAGTAACCTAGAGGCAAAATACTCAGCATCCCATTACCAGACACATCCACTCAGCCTTACTCCTGGTGACAAACTAGCCCCTCCTGAATAAATAAGATCAATAAAGAGTGACTTAGGGGGAACATGATCACGTAGTGGAAATGTGTGGGGAAGGCACTCACCCTGCTTATGGCCAGAAGGAAGTCAAGTTTGTGCGACTTGGGGACAGAGTGGCGTAGTTTCCAATATACCAGGTGCTCCCAGGCAAAGACCAGCAGGCTCAACCCCATGGCCACCAACAGCATGTAGAAGACCCCGGCCATGTTGTCAATGTCTAGCTTGCTGCTCATCACCTCATTCTTCTCATTCTGGCAGATCCCCGACAGCCACACGGTCTCCAGTTTCTGGGTTTCCCCTGGGAAACATTTACACACAGAGGGACAGACTGAGATTCTAGTCAGTAGCTTCCTGTGCCCCTGCAGCGTGAGGGACCAACCCTCTCACTTCACAGTCTGATGTCTACGTTGTTTTAGGAGCAGAAGAAATATCCACTGCATCCCAGAAGTTATTAATAGAATTGTCCTCTATTCAGCCTTTAGGATTTCTCCCCAGTTTGTGCCTTCACCAAACACTCCTGGATTTGGACATGTGATAGCCTTTTTCCGACTTCTTAATTTCTTCCCCTTCACACCCATCTCTTCTCCCCATAATTCCCTTCCTCTGTCATGATCTGCCTCTTTCCCCCCTCTCCTCCCCTCCTTAACTCTGTTACATTTTACTCCTGAACTTCCTGCTCCTCTCCCCCGCCCATGCCTTTATACTTTGCACACAGATCACTTAAGATCTCAAAGCTGCCAGGAGAGGTTTATTGCCTATTAGCGGGAAGA